GGGGGGGGGGGGGGTTTGCGGGATAAGATTCTCGCTGTCCTGCCTCGTGATCAGAACTATCCTTGCATCTTTATTTCAGATTATTTTTCGCTCCACACTTTTGATCAATCTACACGTGATACTGTTATATACAAAACTGTGGTCTGTTTTGTCCAAGGCTACAGAATTCACAGAATTAAGGAAGAACTCTGAAACGCAAGGAACAGGGAGTCCTAAACCCATGATAGAACCACAGCTCCCATATCCCGGAATCTCTTTAGAGCTAGGCGACACAGTGGGATCCCGCTGACACATCATAGTTGCATGCCTTCTGGATTTTTCCTCCTTTCCCAGCTCCACTGCATTATTTCAGCTTATCAGGAATCTTTGTTCTTATCCCCAGATATTCTTATCTAATATGGTTATCCTGTTTTGTAATCTGCTGGCTGCCTGATGTTATCATCTAATCTATTTACTGTTTGAAGTTTCTTTTTTATCGTACCTCTATTCTGCCTTAAGTCCCAGTTCAAACGGCAGAGCAGAAAATATCATTACTATTATTAAAAATATATTGTCAGCTCGCTGCCATAAAGGCTGGGGGGGGGGGTTCCCCCTTTGGAATGTACTTTCGGTTTCCTGGTTGCCTCAGTGATGCTCCCTTATCTGTATGTTCTATGCGCTTGCCCTTGAATGATTCGCCTTAACACCTTCTCTGGGAAAGTGGGACCCTTACATTCTGGCGGGCCCCTCTCCTCCCCTCATTGGCTCTACGCCACCCAGTGACCCCCTTTGAACAATGTATATCTGTTCACCCCGCGCTTTACGCTTTACTCTTAACACAGTTCCTGAGGTAGATGCCCTGCCAATACTGCTTCAATAAACTTTCCTTTCTGAAGAAGCGAGTTGTTGAGTCTGATTGCTGCAGGAGTCTGACATATATAATAATTGTTACTGAGAATATTAATCACAGAATAAGGAGCCAGTTTGGTATAGTGGTTAAGAGCGGCGGACTCTAATCTGAAGAACCGGATTCGATTCCCCACTTCCCCCCTTGGTGACCTTAGGCAAATCATAGCACTCTCAGCCTTAAAAAAAAAATAATTAAAAAATAAGCCTCGCTCGCAACATATATGGTGTCAAAAAAGAGCTACAGCTTCGGCAGCCAGACCCTCTGGGATCTATCTCCTGGCTATTCCACACACAATGCCATACAATCATTTCAAATTTATCACAGAGTATTATATTCAACGAGAATGATGAGGCCAGTGAGGTTGCAGTGCCAAACAGGGGTGTTCTCGGGATGACCCATGACCATTTTTTGACAAACTTTTTCGTACCCTGGCACTTAATACCTAGTCAGAACACCATTTTGAAAGCATCTGACTGCTGCCTTCCACCTTCGGCCTTTCAAGGTTTGGACACTCCTTGTCCTGTTAAAAAATGGGTAGCAAAATGTCCCTGACTTACAAGTATCAGAAATGACTATGGCATAAGAGCTCCTAAAAGCTTACAATTTTGTAACTCTTTTTACTGGCCCAACGCACTATTTTCCCAAATTTTGACACTGGTCATCACAAATCGAGAGGCAGCTTTGTTCTTCAAGTCATTTACTTTATTCGTCCAATTATCTTGCAGTGATTTTAAAAACTGATTCTACGGTTTTCATTCCCCAACTTGAATTTCTAAACTGAGAAGCTGGAGCCGAGCATCTTTTGTGGGGCATCAAGAAAGCCCACCCACAGTCAGGAGGCCGTCTAGTAGGAATTATATCCTTTTCAATCTTACCCAGAAAAGTGGCTCTATGGTAACGCTCCTTCGCAATCGTCTCCTGTGCCTGAAAAAGAAGCAGGGATCCCGGAAAGGGGAGAGTGATGATAAAAGGAAGAAACAAACTAGTGGGGGAGGGGCCTAAAAAAGCTGGGACAATATGTGTGGATTTCGAGAATATCCTTGTTCATATTCTCCCCACCCACCCCGATGAATCCCTCTCACCTGCAGGTCCTGATTCCTGTCCTCCACCTGGCTGAGGAGGAAGCCTTCTGCCAGGGCCACCGCCTGGGAACTGGTCTCCGGCCCGCACTCCCTCACCCAGCTCTCCATCTCCGGGGGCAGGACGGCCAGGAACTGCTCCAGGATCACCAGGTCCAGCATCTCCCTCTTGCTGCGCCTCTCCGGCTTCAGCCACTGGCGGCAAAGACGGTGGAGTCGGCTGCAGACCTCCCGGGGCCCCTCCGCCTCCTGGTAGCCGGACTGCCGGAACAGCTGGCGCTGCACATCTGGAGAGAGGACCTCGACTCCCAGGCTCTTCTCCATGGTTTCTTCCCACAGCTCCCTTCTGCCCCGGAGGCATCAAGGCCTTTTCTCACTTCAAGGGCAGGTGAGGTCGTCTCTCACCTCATTTCTCTCCAAGTAGCCTCCACCAGGACCTGTGGATCACTCTCCTTGTTTGCTAGATTCTTGTTACAGCAACTGCCAGATCGATGAACCCCTGCAAAGTCAAATCTGTTTACATACACACGCATTTACTTATTTATTTATCTGACTTCTATCCTGCCCTCTCTGCAAAGCAGTCTCAGGGGGGCTTACAATGTATACAACACTAAGACAAGAAAATTAATAAAATCAGAGCAATATGATCGTAAACATAACAAACTATAAAGTGCTAGTACAGCTAATATAGTGATGGCGTACATGAGCAGCATTCACAAGTATGCGGTCAGCTAAAGTTATAGTCTGGGTTGTGGCAGACTGTTAATGGTGGTATTAATGTTGATATTGATATTAATGTTGGGGCCGGGGCCTCGCTTTCTGCAGTGCGGCTCCCTAGTCAAAAGCCTGGGGGAGGAACTCCATCTTACAGGGCCTGTGGAGCTGTAAAAGGTCCTGCAGGGCCCTGATGTCCTCCAGGAGCTCATTCCACCAGTATGGAGCCACCACTGAGAAGTCCCTGGCCCTCGTCACAGGCAGCCTGGCTTCTCTGGGGCCCAGAAGGGCCAGACAGTTTTGGGATCGTGCTAAGCACGCTCATCCCACCCAAAGGGTTAATTTCAATATTCTAAGGCCTAGTTTGAGCTTAGAGGTGTCTGTGATTTCAGCGGTCTTGTTATTACCAGCGTTACTCAAGGCTGGACAATGGAATGTTCTAACTGGGTACGTCATGAGAACCTGTGCTTGACAGAATAACATGATGGAACGGGGGAAATTAGGAGCAGAAGGTAGCATCTTCTGGAAGGGGTGGGGAGGGGCTGCAGCTTTCTGTGGGAAAGCATCTGCTTGGCATGCAGAAGGTCCCAGGTTCAATCCCCAGCATCTCCAATGAAAAGAACTAGGCAGTAGGTGATGGGAAAGACCTTTGTCAGAGACCCTGGAGAGCTCCAGCCAGCCTGCGTAGACAGTACTGACCTTGAGGGACCGATGGTCTGATTCAGTGTAAGGCAGATTCATGTGAGCCACGCAGTAGAAAATAAGAGCTTTCTCAAAGATTCCTAGAAAAGAAGATATTTGGTTGGATGAGAGAGACCACCTGACTTGACGGGGCAAAGAATTATAACTGGGACTATGAACTTGTTGGAGCTGCGGTGGCTCCAGTGGTTATGACGCTGAACTGCAGGCTGTGGGAGTTCAGTAGTTCAGCAGTTCGAGACCCGAGTGTGCCGCATGATGGAGTGAGCTCCCGTCTCTAGTTCCAGCTCCTGCCAACCTAGCAGTTTGAAAGCAAGAAATTGCAAGTAGATAAATAGGGACCACTTCGGTGGGAAGGTCACAGTGTTCCATGCACCTTGGTGTTTAGTCATGCCGGCCACATGACCACGGAAACGTCTTCGGACAGCGCTGGCTCTTCGGCTTTGAAACGGAGATGAGCACCGCAGCCCTAGAGTCGGATTCGACTGGCTTTCGAGCAAGGGAACCTTTGTTGTTGTTGTTCAGTCACACAGTCGAGTTCGGGACCCCATGGACCAGGTCACGCCAGGCCCTCCTGTCTTCTGCTGTCCTCTGAAGTTGGCTCAATTTCATGTTCTTTACCTTTACCTATAAACTTGTCAGGGTTATGTGCTAGGATACGCTACATTATTCCAAGTTATGCTATGCTGGGATACTCTTCCGTTACGGCTAATTGCAATGGAAAGACTGCTTTTTGCTTACCTATTTTTTCAAAAACTCCGCCGGTGCTGTGCCCCGTCACTCCTTCCCCCGACGGCACCCGCACATTCCCCCAGGCACTTGGGACAGTGGGTCGGGAAGGGGCAGCGGCAAGTCACGTGCCCTTCTCGGTCGGTGCCTCTCTAGGAATTGAGACGCCTTCCATTTAACCCTTAGACTGGCTCTCTGCAGAAGGCAAAAGCTCTTCCTGGCTTCGCCCTGCCAGAGGGGGCATCTCTTTACACCCAGCAAGCGTCCCTCTGCAAAGGGTGGCGAAAGAGAAGGGAAGGAAGGATTCGACCCGCTTTTCCATCCCAGCTTCAGCCGGTTCTTAAGGAAGAGAATCTGACTTTCAGAATGGGAGGGGGGAAGGCAGCCAGGTTGGAGTCACTGGAGGCAAAGCAATCCCTCTGTATATGTTGGGGAAATGCCATCTTCTGATCCCTAAAAATTGAGTGGCGGCTGCAGAGAAGCTTCTGGCCGGGCTCACTGGCTTGAGCTACCTAGAGCATTTCCCAGGCACGAGCTGTGCTGCTCCCTCCCAAGAGGTCACTTAGTTCTAAAAAGGTATCCATTGGGTCAAGATGTGGCTGGACCGCCCCAGAACCTGACCCTCCCCTAGGCTCCACCCCAAATCTCCAGGGATTTCCCACACTGGAGTTGGCACCCATACTCCCTTTTGTAGGCCTGGGACCTTGCTCTAGTTTTACCCTCTGAGGACATTTCCCAGATCCTCTTCCAAGTCCTGGGATCACACCTGGTGGAATTGAAGAGGAAGGGTAGGCTAAGATCTCTTCAAGGGGGGGGGGGGGCTTTGGAGAAGTAATGCCTGTCCCAAGGAGGGGTGGTCTTCTCCCAGGAGCTGGGAGGTGGAGCGTCCCTCACCCAAGGAGGGTGTCATAGCCCTGGAAAGACCAAATTCTCCAGTAGAGTAGGGACCAGTGAAGCAGCTGACGTTCATGTAGCCCTGTTGTTGGGAAGGTATCGTCTGTTAAAACTTTTTCCCTCTTTACAAGTGGGGCTTAAAAGATAACGGTTTGGTTCTTACTGCAATGATACAAAGGGGAAAATTGTGCCTTTCCTTGCTGGGAGACTCCTTTAGACCAAGGGTTCCCTGGGAAGTACCCTGCTACCCAGCTGCCACCGCTCACAACCTCCTGAGAGCATCTAGACTGACCTGCTGAGAAGGTAGTCTTCCAGCACAGTATTAAAGCAGTAACTTACAGCCAGCCTGGGAGCACCCGTGCAGTCTAGCACGTGGGGAAGAGATTCAGAGAAATGTCCCAGAGAAATAGATTAGACATAGCAAAGTAAAAAAAAAAGCCTTTATAAAAATGTTTGTTGCAAAAGAGATGGGGAAGGGTGGTTGGATTCAAAAAGGGGTGGAGAAAAAAGGAAAAACAAAATTCAGGGGAGAGTACACAACACCACAGAGATATTCAACGGAAAAACAATGCAGTAGAATTCACTCGGCTAAACCTGTTACCTATATGCTGTAGCTAGTTCCTCGAGCTTGTGCAGAGTTCTGTGTGATAACAAGAGGTCAAAAGAGTTCTTACTCATCTGCAATTTTTCATTTCTTTGAAACAGCACTTTCTTTTGCAGGCATCTTCTTATAGAATTTTTACCAGAGCAGTAGTTAGAGAGTTTCAGTATGAATAAATAAAAATACGACAATTATAGTTTTAGGGGCTTAACTCTTCCCTTTCCCATCAAATCCACCCCACTCTAGCGGCTACTAGCTGGGGATCTTTCATTTCGACCATGGCAAAGAAGAGACCTCTGCCTCCCTATCCACTACAGTTCTCAGGTGTATGGGGCCATATGCACAGGCTAGGAAAAAAATTTTTAAATGAATTATGAATCTGACCTACCAGATGGCAGAGTTGCAATCCTAAATACATTGAATATGATGGATTTCTTAATTAAACACACTGCCTTGAAGTTTAAATCTACACGTGCTAATACTTTAAAAATTGGGGGGCAAGCGGAGAGAAAGAGGGAATGAAAGGGCAGTCTCCCACCTGAAGCAGACAATATGCCATTAATTTGGCTTCAAATTATATGCAAGCTATTATATGCACATTATAAATACATCACTGTATTATATACAGATTATATACATACATGCCAGCCAGCCAGCCCTCAATCATGAGACACAAAATGGCACCCAGGTGGAGGGGGACTTGGCTGGAGGAAGATGTGGGAAGGGGAATCCCATAATGGAGGGAAGGAGACAACTTAAGCTGCATTGGGTCTCAGCTTGGACTGTGAAAAAGGTGTATAATAGTTGTTGTATTAAAAAAATCTGGAAGCAGTTTGGCATAAAGGATGATCGCTCTTGCCATTAGTTTATCCAGTATAACTGCCGCTGTTTCAGCAAGAGGAAGAACTGCACATTCAGTAGTCAAACTGTCATTAAATATGGTCAATGGAGCAAGTGGAGCTGAGAACCTAGTCCTTAACAACATAGTCTGTTAATCCTAATGGTCCGTGACAACCCTCCTCAAGATGTGCTCATGGTAGGACAAATACCTCATATTTTACACTAACTTGTATTACAAATCTTTTATGAGAACTCAACATGCCTTAACCAAAAGCAGTTTAACATTGTATAATACAGTGTCAGGAGGGCGATGCCAACCCCCTCCTGACTATGTCGGGAATAGACCCTGTAGCTCTCGACAAGGATGAGAAGCCAGTCCTAGACCATTCCCAGGAAGCCCGGGGATCCTGTTTAGTTGCCCACAGAGAGGGGATAACTCTAAGAAGGGAGGAGGTAGAGGCCGTGGGACCACGTGGGCAGGCCGACAGGGATCTGATCGATGGTGACAGGGTTGGGGGATGGAGTACAAAGACCCGAATCCCTTGGATTCCCGTATGGTTGCGCGGTTACTTTAAGAGGAGGGTGGTGGGCGAAACAGGTGGAGAGGCTGAACAAATAAACACACAGGTGAAACCAAGGAGGAATGAGGAGGGAATTCACAGAGGACAGAGAAGAGGGAGAAGGTTCCACTTGGACTCGTCTGGCGAATCACTCCAGGTCGCAACTAGTGAAATCTTAACTAGTCCCGAACCATTCTGAGGTAAAACCTGGACTATTGGCTCATCCTTTCATCCTGGATTCGACTCACGGCTGTTCCTCAACCCTTATCGATCCTGAGCATGACAACACTAGAAATATTTGCACAGTTTCTCTTCTTGTGTGAATTTTTTGATATGAAAGATTGGTGGTAATGTGTGAACTCCTAGCATTTGTATGGTTTCTCCCCTGTGTGGATTCCTCGATGGACAGTAAGGCTTGAACTCCAAGCAAAGTTCTTTCCACACTCCAAGCATTTATATGGTTTCTCCCTCGTGTGGATACGTTGATGGGATTTAAGGTTCGAACTCTGAGCAAAGTTCTTTCCACACTCCAAGCATTTATATGGTTTCTCCCTCGTGTGGATACGTTGATGGGATTTAAGGTTCGAACTCTGAGCAAAGTTCTTTCCACACTCCAAGCATCTATATGGTTTCTCCCCTGTGTGGATACGTTGATGTTTAGTAAGTTCTGAACTTTCAGCAAAGTCCTTTCCACAGTCCAAGCATTTATATGGTTTTACCCCTATGTGGCTGCGGTGATGTTTAGTAAGACGTGAAATCTGAGCAAAACTCTTTCCACACTCCAAACATTTATATGGGTGCTCCCCAGTATGGACACGCTGGTGTTTAGTAAACTGTGAATGTCGAGGAAAACTCTTTCCACACTCCAAACATTTATATGGTTTCTCTCCTGTGTGGATTTGTTGATGAGAAGTCATTTGTGAACTCCGAGCAAAGCTCTTTCCACACTCCAGGCATTTATATGGTTTTTCCCCAGTGTGAAAACGTAGATGGATATTAAGCTGTGAACCCAGAGCAAAGCTCTTTCCACACTCCAGGCATTTATATGGTTTTTCCCCAGTGTGAAAACGTAGATGGATATTAAGCTGTGAACCCAGAGCAAAGCTCTTTCCACACTCCAGGCATTTATATGGTTTTTCCCCAGTGTGAAAACGTAGATGGATATTAAGCTGTGAACCCAGAGCAAAGCTCTTTCCACACTCCAGGCATTTATATGGTTTCTCCCCTGTGTGGATATACTGATGTTTAGTAAGCTGTGAACTGCGAGCAAAACTCTTTCCACACTCCAAGCATTTATATGGTTTCTCCCCAGTGTGGACACGTCGGTGGACAGTGAGTTCTGAACCACGAGGAAAGCTCTTTCCACAATCCAGACATTTGTATGGTTTCTCCCCAGTATGGATACGCCGATGGTCAGTAAGGTCTGAAGCACGAAGAAAGCTCTTTCCACACTCCAGGCATTTATATGCTTTCTCACCAGTGTGGATACGTTGATGTCTAAGAAGGCTTGAACTCTGAGCAAAGCTCTTTTCACAATCCAAGCATTTATATGGTTTCTGCCCTGTGTGGTTGCATTGATGGGTATTAGAGTCTGAGCTCTGAGCAAAGCTCATTCCACATTCCAGGCATTTATAGGATTTCTCCCCAGTGTGGATTCGTTGATGAGCAGATAAGGTGTCACTCTGAGAAAAGCACTTTCCACACTCCAGGCATTTATATGATTTCGCCTCTCTGATGACTTGTTGATGAAGGATGCAATTCTGAGCAGAACTCCTTCCACGCTCCAACCATTTATGAGGTTTCTCCCCTGTGTCAATTCTTTGGTGTCTATCAAACACCTGAAATTCAGCACCCTGAGGAGAAGATTCATTCTCCCTCTTCCATTTTGTTCCACTGATTCTTTTCTGCTGTGTTTCCTTAAGTACATGGTGTTGTGGTTCTCCCTTGGACTTGTTCTGGAGTCCATCAGCCTCTAGAATAAAGAGAAAAGACAGGTAAGATGTTCAGGCAAAAGTGGAAGCAAGTAAAGGAGGCCATTAACTGCTTTTGATAATGACGGAACAGAAATCACTTGCTGGGGAAACAAATACTGCTCTTGATTCTTCCTTGGAACCTCCTTGTTTAGAGACAGGATCTCTCTAAAGTGGGATGCCGTAGAACTGCTCCTCTATTTGTGAACCTTCCAGGGACTCTGAATGGCCACTGCTGGAAACGGGAAGCTGGACTAGATGATGTCTCCCAAATCACTTCCTCTATTCAAGGATAGAACTGAACTGCATTCACTGGACAGTGAGTTAGGAGCAGAGCTTTACACTCTAACCACAGAAACCCAATCTGATCCCCAAACTTAGAAAGCTCATTGTACTTTCCACCCACACCCAGTAAATTCGGCCTCCCAGGCCCTGCGTCCTGTGGCCTTGACAGCAGAGATGAGGCACAGGCGACTAGAGATGCTGCATTTTCAGTGGTGGCCCCTCATCTGGGCAATGTCCCCCATTGGAAGCTCACCCAGAGTTCACCTTCCTATCTTTTCAGAGTGAGGCCACCAGATAGGGTTGCCAAAATTTTCTCAGCCGGGAGCAGGGGGGCTCCCGGCTGGCGTCTGGGATGTGCGTGCGCGTGGTGCACATCACCCGGAAGTGATGTCGCACGCTGGGGGCGGGGCCACGGCCATTTGAGGGGAAAACATAGAGTTTTCCCCTCAAATGGCCGTGGCCCCGCCCCCAGCGTGTGACGTCACTTCCGGGTGATGTGCACATGGGGGTGGGGTTTCCCCCGGGCCCGATTTTCGTCGCATCAAAAATTGGGCCGTCAAAGCGGGGGATTCCCCGCCCCCCGGTGCCATTTGGCAACCCTACCACCAGAGCTTTAATGTAGAGGGTTATCGTTAGAGGGTTATCATTTTAGCTATTATCATTTAGCTTCTAATGTGAGGAGAAAGAAGAAGAAGAGATTGGATTTATACCCCGCCCTTCACTACCCAAAGGAGTCTCAGAGTAGCTTACAAACTCCTTTCCCTTCCCCTCCCCACAACAGACACCCTGTGAGGTAGGTGGGGCTGAGAGAACTCTTGACAGAAACTGCTCTTTTTCAAGAACAGCTCTTATCAGAACTATGGCTTGCCCAAGGTCATCCAGGCAGGTACAGTTGAAGGAGTGGGGAATCAAACCTGGTTCTCCCAGATTAAGAGTCCGCGCACTTAACCACTACACCAAACTGGCTCTGTTTTATGCATTTATTTATTTAGTTTAGTTATTTAGTTTATCCATTTATTTATTTAGTCTGATTCATACCCCGCCCTCCCCGCCGGAGCAGGCTCAGGGCGGCTTACATAAAATCGCAACAGTAAATAACGGATAAGAACATCAATATAAATATCCTCATAAAACACAACATAATTACTAAAACCAGTTTATACAATATTGGGAGATTTCTCAGCCAGCTCAGTGGCTATTTTACCAACTTCTTGTGCCGCTGGCTTTTTACATTGATCATTTAGGCATTATTTAGGATTTTCTGGGATTGTTTTGATTTTTGAGCCTGCTTGAACAGGCATGTGAAGAGGAAGCATATAAATAAAATAATGTTTATTATGAAGCCGAGCACTATATAAACATTCCCCACCACCACCACCATAGTTACAAACAAGCTAATATTTGAGTCCCTCTTTTAATGACTCTTTTGTGTTTCATAAAGACTTCCTGGCCATTCTCAGGCTGTTGCCTCTTAATACCCCCCCCCCCATTTTCAGCTGGTGACATTTAGCCCAAGAGGAGTTCTACCCGCATGTACCAGAAAAAGGTTCCCACCATGCAAGTAAGCAGATACTTGCTGATCTGTTTCTTTCCTCTTGGTCCTGGACAAGTGGATCTCCTGGTTATTCTGCTGTGGATATGAAATCAGGTTTGGGAACCAGAAGTCCTCCTTTTGGCGAAAGAAAGAGACCGGTGACTTCTAGGTGTTCCAGCTCTATCGGAAACCCAGCCATTCATATTGGCAAAAAGGAGAAATCAATTTTTTTACATTCCCCAAAGATGCATGCAATGGGAGGGTGGGGGGGGGGGCTGCTTCTTGGATCCAGAAGGATCCGTCTGCTGATCCTGATAGAGACCCAAAGTGGAGAAGAATGGAAGAAGGAAGTTCAACACAGGGAAGGGAAGTCCCAGCCTAAACGGAGCCACCAGGATACAGGATCTTAAGCCCCCTTCCCCAGGCAAAAGGATCCAACATCCCAGTCTACTGTGGCTCTGCCAAGGGCCACTGTCTCACTTTGAAGAGAGCCCACGGTCCCTACAGAATGGGAAAAGGTGGTGACGGATCCTCAAACTCCTAACAATCCGGAAATCTATTTTCAGATTTATAAATCTGTTCTCCCGTGTTTAGGACATTTTTTCACACCTCTCGACCTGCAAAGAGCTCAGAATGGCATACATTGTCTTCCCGTTCTCTCCAGCCTAGAAAGGGGGAACAAAGCATCTGCCCAACTGAATTCAACAGAAGAATGGGAGGCAGGAATTCAGCAAGTGAAGCCCATTATGGGCAAAACATCACCTGTTAGAATCTTCTTCAAGCCTCTGCCACCTCATTTTACTGAATCTTTGAGCCATACCTGAGCCTACACTGGTGTAACAGAATAAACACAGCACAAGGACCCCTTTCTCAAATATCAAGGGAAGCTGTAACATCCTCAGGGCAAAGAAATACGTTTTCAAACTTTGTAGAAGTCATATGGAGGACCCTATACAAATACAATTTTATTTCTTCTTATTATTATTTATTATTATTCTTCAAAATGCTTGTTTCCATGGCTGCTCTGAAAGGCCCAAGAGGAGGCCCCATTGACATCCTATCAACTGTCATGGAGGCCAGTCCCCCTCCTGACCTGCTTTCAATGGATCTTCATTTGAAGATTTTGCACTCCAGAAGAACAATGACCGTGGCCCCGCCCCCAGCGTGCCCAGCATCATCACGTCACTTCCGAGTGACGTGCATGTCGGGTTGGGTTTCCCCCTGGGGCCTGATCCGCCGGCGGCGGGGAACGGGCCTTTGGGGCGGGGGTTTCCCTGCCCCCCAGGGGGACTTGGTAAGCCTATGCCTGCATGGGCACCCACACCCCTCCCCTACTGAGAGTCTCCACTGGAAGAGCCCTTTCAGAGGCCTTATTGGTGGCAGTGGAAAGTGCCATTAACTCACAGCTGACTTACAGTTACCCCCTGTCATGATCTGGGCTGTGCCACCAGAGACCTACTAGGCCCAGGGAGCCTGGCTAGCAGTAGGTGAGGCTGAGTGTACAACTCCCAGAAGCGTCTGAGAGGTTTTGGAGCCAAAATTGACCAATAGGAAAAGAGGAGGGCTTGGAATAAAATATCTGGTGCAGCAGGAAAAGCTGTTCTCCTTCCCAGGGGACAGAGCCAGAAGGGACTGAGGCTGCTGTAGGGAAGAGACCCTCATCCTGAGGGAAGGGTGAGTAGTCTAGTGCCACTTGGAATAGTGAGCTAGGGACAGTATATATTTAGACCCGTTAGGGCATTTGATTTCTTTTCTTTTCACCCACTTATTGTTATATTTCTGCACCTTGTTTGTTTGACCTCTTATAAAATAAACTATTTTCACTGTTCACTCTGCCTGGTCCTCACGCCTATTATTCAGCCAAAAGGGAGGTCTCTAAAGGCCTGGGAAGGTTCTCTGGGCCTTCTCAGAGGAGCCTGGAACCAGAGTGGTGGCAGCGTCAGGTGACACCCCACCTGAGCCATGACAGCCCCGTAGGGCTGTCAAGGCAAGAGATGGATAGAGGTGGTTGGCCATGGCTTACCTCTGCATAGCAAGCCTGGACTTCTTTGGTGGTCTCCTGTCCATGTACTAACCAGGACCGACCCTGCTTCACTTCTCAGAGCTGCAAGATCGGAGCAGCCTGGGCCATCCAGATTAGACCTGGGGCCCATCTTGGAAGGAATCATTTTTGGTATCAACATCTTTGAATCAAAAGAAAGGAGAGCCTTACCCAGGGAGGCCACATTCTGACAATTCTCCTCCATGACCTCCTGGTGAAGCCTCCTTTGGTCTGGATCCAGCAGAGCCCACTCCTCCTGGGTGAAATGAACAGACACCTCCTCCAAGGTCACGAGGCCCTGAAAAGAGGGGAGGAAACACACCCACTATCTTCACGGAGAATGTAAGAATCCTTCCCTTTCTAAGGGCAACCTAAAAAGATTCAATGTATTGGTATTTATTGGGTTATTTTAATCTAGTTTTAAATTGAGATCGTATATTTCTTCTGCTTTAAGCTGCCCTGAGCCCTATTCTAGGGATGGGCGGTCACAGATAGCAGCCGAGGGAAAGA